ATTTGCGTTGTGAATGGAAGAACTGAAGTTATTTTCATATATTAAACGAATTGTACACGCATAAACATGCGCACGACAGAGAGTTTTTCGGTAAAATCCAAAAAAAAAAAAAAACTCTTCAGAACGTGAGATCGATGTGTGGTTCACGATTTTTAGAGAAACACCGGACTGCAAATGGACTGATAACAGATCAAAATTGTTATTTGAAGAATTCTTTTTCGTCGATCTGCTTTACAAATGCAATATGTAGCTTACGAAGCACATATGAATTGTCGAACGAATAAAGAAATAAATAAATGAATATTATGTATCCGAATATAATAAAATAACGATGAATATGATCGTTGTTCAACTGATCGACGAATCTTTAGTTTCAGCCTGTTATAATAATGAGTTAGTTCGATAACGACCACCTGTGCTCTTTTCATTATTGCTTCGTTCATCCATCATCCCAACCGTCTTGTTGCACAAATAAATATTGCCGAAATTGTGGCGACATCAAGGCATTAAATTATTTACATTTGGTATCACTCTCACATCTCCTTCATTATTATTCATTCACTCATTCGGTCATGCAAATGCATATGCGTATATTTCACAATGATTATAAAACGTTCTGAGACACAATTATCGTCTATCATCTATTATCTGTAAATGATGAATTCGAGTTTTTTTGACGATTTTGAACAGTATGTGACAATACATAAAGTATGTGACAATACATAATAGGAGACAATGAAAAATCACCTTTTGAATATGCGCACAATGCGCATAATTCTTATTTAAGTTAGCGTTTATTCGGTATTTCGAATGAATGGTATGGAACCCGAGACTAACGGATTTATATTTTGTTCACTAATTTTCTCGTTTTCATTTTCTTCATCCTCCAATTCTTCATCGATATTTTCCATGCGTGTATTAGTAATAAAATTCTCGCACTGATTACGTAACAAAATCTTCAATTCATTTGCTGTTATATCAGCATTTATATCCAATCGTACGAACGTTGATAAAATCCATTTGAAACGCTCCGTAACGGTCTGCAATGCAAAAAAAAAGATAAATTACAAATTGGTAGATGAATGAAGGGTTAAACGAGCAATAATAAAGAATCGAACCTGACCAGAGCAGTCAACAATATAACCATCGATTGGTAAATGTTTACCATTTAACATCATTAAAAGATGAAGTAAATTAAGAGAGCATGAAAACGATAATGCAGCTGTATGTAACGCTGCTTCAGCACGTGAAATGCGCTCAATGTATGATAATAACTGAAATATCAATGATAAATGATTATATTCCATTAATTTAAAACGTTAAGAGGTGAACGAAATCATAACAGCTGAGCGGTTTATTTGAATAGTAGGTCATTCGTTTCGCAGTCCTTCTGCCAAAATATTTCCCATTTTCAACGGAGATTGTGACAGTTGTTATCCTCATTTTTCTTGCTACTTCATCGTATTGAGGAAACAGGAACAGAACAATTTGACAAAAGTGTGGAACAGATACACCACTAATGTGAACGATGACATGAACAAAACGCTTCTTAAATATTCTGGAGACAAGTGAACGAATAAGCGATTTTCATCGAGAACGTAAATACGGTCGATGTGGTGTTCTATTTGAGAATCTTTTGACATATTATGCGATAATCACCTGTGTATGTGAATACTGCATGAGTGAATCAAGATGCGCTATCGACGAAGGTCGAGGCGCCTTTAGTTTAGCGAGCATTGACGCTTGTGCACCGCGTAATTGAGTACTGGCTCTTTCGAGCTCGATCTCATCGTTCGTCCGTCTTCGTTCCAGCTGAGCGATTTGTTTTGTGACTTTTTAGCATAGACAACTTATGTGCCACATTTACTTCAGCAATACCCATTCTCTTCGATAGATTCCCTACTCTCCAGAAACTTGGAAAAATTGTAACCCTCTGAATTCTTAATCAACATAAAAAAAATAAGTCTGAATTAATAGTCACCTCTGCACAAAGATTCAATCTTTGCAGAATATGATCGATTGGCGGTGAACAAGTTAAAATAACGTTCTCTTGTTTCTGTTTTATTCGTGAAATGAACTCGTCAGTAAAAACATATAGTGCATCCAATGAATCTGATTGAATGCGATAACGTCCTACAATTATCAAAATTTCATATTCTCTCCAAAAAATTGGTGGACTCATTAATGAATCTAATAAAGGATCCAGAAATGAAACGAATTGCTAGAACAGGTGCTCTTAGAGATTGGACAGTTGTTCTGCTGGAAAGCATACATTTGAGGTGCAATGGTAATTTTTGATAAGGAGAATTATTCATTCATTAGTACATGGGTAAGGCACATACTTGATTTTTGTGACACAAAAATGGAAACAATCCAATCCGAGAGTATTGGTTGTAATGCAATCGACGTACTTCGTTCTGCTTCAAATTCTGAAAATTGTTTTTCAACGTAATTCACTGATTGAAAAGGTGAAATAAAAGTAGAGAAATGAATCATGTAAAAGTAATATCATTAGTATTATGTAAAAGTAATATCATTAGTATAATACAAATAAAATACAATAAAAATCATTAATGACTGTATATATTTTATTCACGTGATATCTGATCATTCATTTAAGCCAAATTCCATGGATCAATCGAATTTGAGCTTAACCCGGACTCCACGCCCAACACTAAGCTTGATCTAGTGTGCAACTGATTGAGCATGAAGGCATCAAAAGATGCGTGTGCCTTATCACAAATATCACACCTAATAGTAGATATGCTCAAAATCCTAAAAATGGAAACCTGGAAAGAGTTCGCCAATCTCGAGCGATGCTTCCGAAGACTCAAACGTTAATTTGTACTGTACGTTACGTTGTGTTCCTGTAGCACGGCACATCAGAGCGAGTGGAAGTTTAATTTGCATAGTCGATAATTCACCTGCAAACAGCGCTTGATCAGTTAATAAGTTTGACGTTCGACCATTACGTTATGTTCTTGCAATCTGCGGCTTTAACGGATGACTGAGTTTCACATAAGATGGGCGTTTAGGAGAATCGTCTTGAAGTGGCTGATACAAAATGGACTGTTGAATATATGCTCTTTACTTAGGATAACTGTGATTCGAAAATAATAGCCAGAAATCAAACGGGTAAGCATAAGCATAATGATCTCATTCTATCAAGTGCTCAAGCCTTCAGTAAACTCTGTATTATGCATATAAAAAACAACTTTTGTTACGCAGCTTGCATTTGAAAAAACTTTTTAATCTTAGAATATGAATATGAGGTGTGGAAAGGACGGGCGAGTGTCGGTTGAGCTTCTAGGATGGATGAAGAGCATTTGGATTATGAACGTTGTAAATATACACTTTCAACAACGACGCTTCTGAACCATGGCACCGCGAACAAAGATCACAACCTCCTATCGTCGACAGTCAAATAATGGATGCGGAATGCAAGATTACTCTTATTGTGCTATTTTGCATGGCTATGAAATTTTTGTGGAAGCGTGTCTGGTTAGCGATATTCAAAAATACCTTTATTGATGGAGCGAAATTGTACTCATGATGATTTTCATTGAAATGTTCAGTGTTATCAATGGATCATTGTTCAGTGAATGAATTAATATGCTAACAAATCGTACTGAAACGAATTATGTTCAAAGGCATTACGAACCATTTGATGCGGAAAAGAGAAGAAATTGACATCTCAAATCAGTGATCGGTTGACTTTTAACATAGAACGTTATTGTTAAATGGTATGAGTCCTCTGAAAAGGGTTTAATTTGATCGTTTACACGCACAGTCATCAAATCAAAATACTTTCGTGACCTCCGAAAATATACGAAAACTTGAAATACGAAACAATTGGAAACAAACGAAGAAAAACTAACGGATATTTGCAATAACGAAATATTTTTGTTCAGCAAAAAATTGAGTTCTGCACATGATGCGTACATCGTTTAATGGCGTTTCAGTGCTCACCATGATGTCAGTTGTTAATGATGGAGTTTCTTCATTCACGTCACGAGCCATCTCAAATGTTATCGCAATAAAAGATCACTATCACTCGTAAAACTCATTCTTCTTTCACAATCAGTCATATCTCACTTTATGAGCATATTCAACAACAGTTAATCAGGCTTCGAAAAGGATTTCACTTGAAAATCAATCAGCTACTTCGAATGGCAAGAAGAACAATTTTGATTTATTTGATGCCTCTTATGCATGAGTGAAATGGACAACGATTGGGAGTAATCAAGTAATGAATCGCTTAATATCGCACACCAGTCAGAAGGTTAATATTATTATCGAATCTTGTTATTCACGTTTAACAGTAAAGAAGTATTTCTCAACCAAACCTAACATTCTTTGAAAATAATAAAGCATTCTTTCGTACCTTAAATTCACTTCAGAACTTCATAAACGAAAGCTACTGGTCATGCGTTTCAAAAAGCTGAATGTCCAAGAAAAACCATGTTGGAAACTTACGGATTTTTCATCTAGGCCGTTAAAATTGCATTCAAAACGTAATCCACACCGATTTTCAACACCTGTAAATGACTTACAGTCTTCAATTTGAATCCAACTTCAAATTCTAGCGATGGTGATATTAAAAATGGATTTCACTTGTGCTAGTAAATGAATGGAAACCGTTCAATGATATACAATTTTCCGTGTTCTCAAAAAACCGAAAATGCTCTCAAAAATACTCAACTGATATGTAATCAAATTCATTCTGCTTGTCATATGTCTGAATTTGTCTCTTTTGACACACAAATTTGATTCATTCGTGATTAGTGACATGAAATTTGCATGTGTTTTTCTTCTTATATCGACAGAATGAGATTGTGGAGAGGGAAATTTTGAAGAACAAAATTAATATGTGAAATGTATGATACTAGCAAACACATCAGACGGTTTCTTGCGTATTGCAGTTTCTAAATTCGAGAATTCGATTTGACGTTCTTGAAAGTCGATGAAACGTGTTTGTGAGGCTGGTAACCGGAAGAGGGATGGCTCTGTGCCCAAGTAACTAATTGACAGCCGTCGTTCTGAGAGAATTGCCAACATTGAGCGATAAACTGTGCTGAAAACCAGCAAATCATTTCACTTAATTCTGTTGAATCACAACAAACGAATTTTTGAAGCTGCTCTTCAAGGAACATGCAGACTGTTCACAATTCCCATTCATTGCTGCAAAAAAAAATACACAATATTGTTAGATTATCTGATCACACAGAGAGGCGTACCCAAATGAGCAAAGATTCAACTGAATTGGTTCATCAGTCAATTGCGCTGCCCATATTAAGATGTTATCAGCGTAGAAGAGTAACGTCTTCGTTGTAGTAGCAATGCATAATTGAATATACGCATCTGATGCTGAAAATTCGATTTTTACGTTCAAGTATGATAAGAAACTCTGAAAACAATAATTCAAAAAATTAGAATTAATATAGCAAAAGCATTTTGCGACTAGAAAATGATTGCAATGGCCTCATGGATGCACTTCAAAACATGCTGCTGAATGCAGCTTGTTTAGACGTGTGCATTATTGCTTAAAAACGTGTTCAGTAATTCAGTTCGAAGTTCCATTTGAATAACCGTGCAACAATCGTACAATAGTGAAACGCTCACTAGAATTGTAAACGAGTAATGCAGTTGCGATACACTGTAAGCGTATCGAGAACCTCAGTGTACCACCGTGAGTGAAACACAGCAAAGAACGTTTACAAAGGACAACAATTGACGGCTGTACGGGTGTTGTATCAATAACAGAAACATCCAACGGCCATTCACCCAAATTAAATGTCCAGTCAGGCTAAAACAAAGTGAATTGCAGAGCACGGTTCAAAATATCCTATCGAAAAAAAACAATTATGCACAGTGTCTAGTCAGCAGTTCATCACTTCAATTACAATTGAGCATAATGCTAAACTGATTTATTTTGAGTATTAAAATGGATGCAAAAACATCAGACAAACGTTTAGCTTTTTGCCATGTGTCGTGTTGGAGGCAGCCGCAAGAGTTGAAAATTTAGTGGATGAAAGAATTGAATCGGATGCAGTGATGATTGAATCTGATTGTGGTGCGTATATGATAGGACCAGGATGTAAATTTGATAAAATATTTCGCTCGAATAAGTGATGTTCTAATTCGAATATTGATAATGAACAATTTATATTTTGGACACATATTTGTGATGTGGTCGAATGTCCAAAATTACCAACACACATGTTATATGCAACACCATTCACATTATGCTCGTGTAGTACCACCAATTCATGACAGTCATTTTCTGCAATGTAATACGCTTGATTGTTTGTTTTGAAAAACCCTTTCTCGCTCTCACAATGAATTAAATTGCAAAACTGTTCTTGATGAATCGAATTTCACAACGAAAAATTCCGTTGTAAATCGGACGTAACAAATATCAGCATTATTAATAAAGTATGTTCTAACCGGAAACAAGGCGATAGATGGTAAGATTATGTGGGAAGAGAATGGCGATGAAATTTTGTTGAGTTCCGCTAACGAATTGATCAACACAGACATCAATTATTGGCGCAGACAATGTTTGCTCGAGTAGACAACTGAATTGCTGACGACACTCAGTGACTCGAGCTGGATCCAGTACCCATACCCGACCGATTGTGCTTGCAATTATCAGTTGTTCTAGAATTGTTAGCACTCTTCAAATGATTCATTGATTTTCAACGAAGTCGTAGCGAAATAAACATTCAAAATGTTTTGAACTCAGTTGATTGTACCATTGGTTCGTTAATCATTGTTTTCAGCCCAATCTAATTAGATGCATTCAACGAGCAACAAATTGTGGAGTTTGAGTCATTTATGAATCTCTTCCCAAACCCTCAGTCACCCTTTCTAAACTGGACAATATCGCCCACTAGTGACCAAAAAATGTAAAAAGAGAAATTTTGACGAAGCAGGACGGTCTTCTTGAGTTATCGCGATATTCTATCCCCGTCTTGAAAGTGGCTACTAAAGATTGTTGAATTCGGAGGATGAAGCGGATGAGCCCCTGGTGCAGTTGAGCGATTGGTTCATAAAAGTTGGAAGCACTACCCTAAACCAGCTACCTAGGATTTTCTTCTCAATCCTCAAACGAAGATATCGTTTCGGACATCTAATAAAAGTAAATGAGGGTAGGTTCATCATTTCCCTAACACTTTTCGATGATGACCTGCAACAAGACTGATCTTGCCTTCTTAAGCTAGATTGATATGAAAGATTAACTCAATGAAATTTACAAGCATCCTTCATGTCTGGTGAAAAACTAACCAACGAGAAACCGAACGAGTGAATTTGGATAAGGGAAAGAAAATCTTACCCAGTGAATATGGTTAAACAAAAGAAGACCTTACTTACCTCTATTATCAAGTAATTTACCAACAGCAAAAATATTTGCATCATTCACTTCCAATCCGAGCCATTCATGAATATGAAACAGCGACATAAGTATGTATTCAAATGATTTTATTTGTAAGAACGGATGAACATATCATATACACATAGACACATGAAATAAAATTGTTATGTTACTCCATACGGTTGTTAGCAACAAAAATCATGTGCATTGCCCCATCACCATGACAACCAATATACATATATAAAAGGAATGTGCATTTCACGAAATAATATCATTGATCACATTATTTAATGTTATTCAACATATACATTTACAAATTAGAATTAGAATAACACAACAGAATTACTATCAGTTTCAACGGACTTAAGAATCAAACACTTAACCATTTATCACAATATGATTCGCAAAAACAGAAATCCGATTCAGCACACTCTAGGTGAACAACGAATTAAACCGCACTTGAAATAGTCCCAACTAATAGAGTCAACATCGAAACAGATTATCACCAATATTGAAAATTTAAAATAATGCAAAATTTCAAGTGACATTCAAAGATATAAATAAGTTTTTAAGTAAATTGGAAAATGAGAGTGCAACTTGGAAACAATGAATGATGATTAAATTACCAGTGAATGACAACAGATATTGAATCAACAGAAAACGCATTTGGAAAAATAAGCGATTCAGAGTGTACCACAAATTAGGTGTTCAGAAAGATGAATGAATCTTCATAAGATTTGAAACAGAAATCAAATATTGCTGAAAGATATTAATATCTGATTGATTCAATGTAGAATCAATTACGCTTCTTTGGTCGTGATTCACGCTTTCGCTTTCTTTCTTCTTCACGCTTTTGCTTCAGTTTCAATGAAGTTGTTAACTTATACGTTACTACAGCTGCAAATAGTTGCAAATTCTGATGGAGAAACTTGTCTGCCATGGATAAACAACAAGCAGAAAAATGAAACGGCTCCAATCAAGAGAGTATTCTGAGAAATAACTACTGCTGAGTTAAAGCTTCGCGAAATATGACATTGAGTGAGAACAGTCATAATATACTTACCAACAATCGCAACAATAACAACAGCTGGAATGATGAACACGGAATTATCAAAGCTATGCTGAAGAATACTGTTGCTGCCACTTAATTCTACCATCGTTTATAAGTAATTTGATGGCAATTACTCCTGTTGAAATCAAATTTTGATTAGTCAAGTATAAGAATAAAATAAGGAACATTATAATTAGTCTCGATCACATTTTTTGTTTCATTCACATTCAACTGTTTCATTCAATTTTCATTTCCTTATCTCTCTTCTATTGGTGGAGGGCTTTTGCTCTTGTTGAAATCGAATATTTAAAAAAAAAACGACGAGAACTGAAAAGAAACTGCGCGCACTCTATAGAAAATTGATTGATTCGGATACAAATAAGGAAGCCTTAGTAGATACGCTCAAGTTCAAATGATAACTTGAATCAGTTTGATTGCTTTTATCAGGTGACGATTGAAAAAATAAAATAAATGAGATCCATGAAAGGAATAAAGTTGATTAGATACATTTATGAAAATAAAGATGTTCGCATGAGAGAAAAGCTCAAGCAATAGGCTTTCGATTTAGAGGAGGCCTAAGCCAAATTCGTCTATAGAACTAATTGCAATCAGTTCGGTACGGGTCGTCCGGTAGCAGCACTGTCGCAGTATACAATAAACAATGCAAGTTGTGCTACATTGAACCACTCAATCGAATCAGTCAGTCCACAGCGAAAAGGTCTATACTGAATAATATCATGTTCACTGCAGCAAATAATTTAAGGGTAGTAAATGAATCAGTAGTAATGATTTCTGAATAGTCAGAGATCAAATGTATTCACTTATTCAACTGTTACTGAATACCAGTTCGGTAATCTCCAAGAATTGAATAAATGCTCGTTTATCAACTAACTGAACATTTAGAACCAATCCTTCCACGTAATTCTTCAAACGCTCAGTTCAGAACTGCAAATCTGGGGAGATGATATTACGCTACAAAATTTGGTGATGTTCTCTTCAATATGATATCCCTGGTTCATTGAACATTACGGCAAATTATCGGGAAAGAACCATAAAGATACGTATGAAATTTAGGCAGAAATGCTGCGGCTGCACCTGCATTTGGCTGGACTTTCTTTGGTTTCGACCTGACGATATTTCAAAACTTAGCTCAACTTGAGTTCATTGCCGTAGCTTGCCCACGGGCAAATACGGGTCTACGACATATGACCAAGCGACAATTGTGAGCACGACGTATGTCCAACAAGTAGTTGGTCACACAAACTTCGTTTGGATTCGCTTTCTGAGCAATGCGAACGCATGCTCGCCATTTTGTGTGTGTGGTATAAAACGCGTATTACTGGGGCTTAGCCTCAGCCTAAGCCTCAGTAATACATATTAGGCTGAAGCTTAGCCTCAACCTCAGCCTAATCGTAGCCTCAGCCTCATCCTAAGTGTGGCCTCAACCTCAGTCTGAGCGTGAGGCTGAGGATACGCTTAGTTATGGCTAAACGTCGGCCATAGTGCTGTTGTACTGCTGCACGCTCGCTGTTTTGCCCCTCAAACGACACCAGTACCATAAACTAGTGATAGACATTCTCGAAATATATCACATAGTCCTCGTTTTATATTAAACACACAAAATGGTGAACGTGCGCTCGCATTGCTCAAAAAGCGAACCTAAACGAAGTTTGTGCGACCGACTACGTGCTGGACAAACGTCATGCTGATAATTGTCGCCTGGTCATTTGTCGTGTTCCCGGCAAATACAGCCTCTACTGTCATCTCGGAGATGTTCGTGAAATTATCGTTCACTTTATTCACTTAGAAGAATTCTTCCCCTGACATTCTACTTATTTTTGGCAAAATAAGCTCACTCTAGGATAATTGAATTGTTCAATCACGTGGCAGTACTTTGATCAACAACGGTATTTAAAATGGAGTTTGAGAACTGGGAACATAAATACGGCTGTGACTGTAGGAAACAGGAAGGGAGAAGCAGAGTGTTGAGAATTACCTAGGTCACAGATGACATCAGGGAAAAAATACACGCTGAAAAAATACTGGAAAAAATACAGTAGTCTCATGGATTAGTTGGGCCAATTGAAATGGCAATCAACATTCATGCGACAGACAACAGCAACAGGGCCTTTAGGCTGTCATTACTGTTGCCCGTTAAGCACTTCAGCGGACTGAAGTGCTTAACGGGCAAGCAGTAGTAACAGCGCCTTCAGGCCATCACTGCTTTCCAGTGAGTATGCCGTATTTTTGGTACTTTCTTTCTTCAGCTGCAATTTTTTCACAACTTTTTCACTTTCAAGCCCCATACCTCCCGAAAGTTACAGTCTTTTTTATTAGCTTATCTGATAGAGCTTTCCAACTGACTGTGCACAATATGTGCACAGTCAGTTTACTCAAATCTCGTTCCTTCATCCTGAAATTTGGCACTACATAAATGTGTCTTTCATTTTTGCCCAACATTTTCCATTTTGAGACCGCTCTGGTTTGTAGTAGACATTTCAGAACAAGATAATTCGTATGATAGAGAATTTTATTTCTTGAATTTTTTTTATTCTGCAATGAATTTTCTTTTTTTTCTTCTGCAATGAACTGCAATCACAATTTCCTCAATCATTCTGCAATGAATTTTCCTCCAAAACGGTCCTTTTCCGATATACCATCGGTATAAATTTTGCTCATTCAAGCGCTCAATCAAACGTTGACCTGCGATTGCGCATGCTTTTGGCTGACTCCGCCCCTGCGCTCAGACACGTTTTATGGCGAAGTACGACTCCGAGAATTTGCGCGTGCCTCATCATGCACGTTGTATAAAAAATTGAGGGTATGAGCTCGGTTTAATTAGGGTGAATGAGCTACTGTTAGCAATGAAATTGATTTTCCGTTGTAGCATGCAAGGGGAGTGCGATTACTCGCCGTAACTAACGTTAACTCGCCATTCTAAGGAACAAGAAAAGTTGTGCTAGTAATTGTATTTGCTGCATAATTGTTTTGTGAACTGATAGAGAGTTAAATAATGTTAAGGAATGCGATCAGCTGTCATAAGAAATTTTTTGCAGCAGGTCGAATATGATTTTGTGGCCGAATGGACTAACGATAAGAAAAGTATTGCGTAATGCGAAACTAGGGTTCGACTCCTGATTCTGCAATTTTTTTTTGCAACTTCAAGTGCTAATGACGAAATTTTTTGAAGTCAGTTTAATTGTTTCAGGCTTTGAGAGTGATTATTTAACACTCCATAACTCGCTCCCATGAATACTTTGTTCAATGTCAACGTGGAAAAGCAGCATACGAACGAACGATGCATTGTCATGCATTCCAACCAAATATTCGGCACTTGTTTTGAGGGCAACGATGAGGGTGCGCACGCGCAAGCCGGGTCAGGTCAAAAGTTTGCCGGGCCAGACCAAAACTTGCCGGGCTGAGCCAAAATTCGGTATGTTTTCAGCCGCGCGACAAATCTTGGCCTGGCAGGTCACTGGTAGGTCCGATTCAGCAGCCCTTGACCCGACCCTGAAAATCTTAGCTTGGCTCGGCCCTACAACTGCAATTTCACATTCACAAAAATTTCTTCTGACAGCCTCTTGCAACTTTTGCAATGTGTAAATCCTTTTATGTCGGTACACAAATCGACTTGACGGAAAGTGACAAGTCTCTAGTGCACTCTTGCGAATAGTATTGGATTCGTCATAGTCTATTGTGGTGGCGAATCGGATTTCTCGTCTTAGATATCAACATAATCAATTGAAGATGAAAAATATCGACTACCGAAGAACATTATTTTCTCATTTGGAAACGATTCTTTCGACTTGTTTACTTTGAGCTAACAATTAAGTTACGATGAATGTTTTCTCTCAGTAACATATCTTGTGCATGGACGAAAAAATAACGATTTGTTGAAATGATCGATTGATTAGTTCTTATTTCGCGCAGCTATTAATATCCTTTTTTTGGAGGTGTTCTAGTCACCAATTATGTTGTTTGCTTTCAGCCTTCCCATATCTGGCTAAAATTAGATAATATTTATAAAACGATGGGTTTACGAACTAATGGAAACGATGAATTGGCGAAACATCGGAAAGCGTTTTTGGCTCGATTGAGAACCAGGTCGGTTCATCAATATTAAGAATAGACTGATGAGGAACTAGTTGAGCAAATTTGATGTTGTAATGGCGTGAGTAATTCGAAATACCTTGTTCTTTGCATTATGATTCTTCCAAATTGACCATCAATTTTGGAATTTATCGAAACTAAGGATGTTGGAGGAGCAGGTGTACATATACAGGTAAATTCGGTACAGTATGTGGGCTATTCACTCGAAAGAGAGACTCATATTAGGGGCTGTGGCTAATATCTCTCGATCTCTTCGAAGGCTGGTTTAATCTTGATTTGTTAATTCCGACAGTTGACATATATACTGGTGATGATGCAGAAAAACTAAAACACCGTGTTTATTCAGATCAGACCGTGAATCTTCGTTTAAAATAGCCGTCGAGTCACTGAATTTCATGCGTAAAGTTGTTGTGACAAGCAAGTACGATAGTGTCGAGTAAGTTTATTCTCTTCAGTGACATTAAGTAATCATAAATCTGCAATTTTGTATTGTGATTTCATCAGTGACAGAGAAATAATTCCATTCGTTTTACAGACAGTTAATTGAACTTTTGAAATGTGAACGTGCCCATTTAGCAGCTGCAGAGCCAACTGAATTCGTTATATCAAATGTTGTATTGAGTGTTTTGAAAATGATACGAGAAGAAAATGAAAGAGCAGTTCTTGGCTCTGATGAGTTCAGTCCATACGATTCACTGAATGTGAGGGTTCATTGACAATATTATTTACGCAATTGTTAAATTTGTTTTGCTTTCAGTATTATTATTATTATTGCTGTTAACCATATTATCAGTATTAATGATTATGAATTGCCAATATCAGCGTTGATATTTTTTGATATTTCATTGCTCCTATAATTTTTTTTGAATCATTTTGATGTTTAAAGCAAAGTGTAATTAACAGAGATGTAATTAAGAAGCTTGCTGTAAACAAGAAATATTCAAAATATGTAATTTCAAGAAATTGTGGAACTGTCCATCAACAGGTGATAAAGAGATTGGCAGTAGATCACTACGAAAATCTGCTGTAGCTGCAATTAATGAATTCGCTACTGAAATGGAAACTTGTCGTGATAATATGTGTGCGCAGGTAACGTGAATTGTGTACTCGAAAATGCCTGCTTTATTAGGTTCACATTGATTTATGAAGCATACTCATTCCTATGTATGCGGAAGTTGTTTTGTATAAAACGATGGGTAATGGATATGTACAGTGCAATGGTTCTCATAGGGGATGAAAGTACCCATTTTGGGTGATTTGGGGGTGTCGGGGGGGGGGGGAGGAAGTAATGGNGGAGGGGGTCGGTAAATTAGTATTCCTTGCAGTTATGTTCTGATAGAACGCCATTGTGATGGCGTTTTTTCACTTGATTATGTAAATGCGATTAGTTCATAGTAATACCTTTCTTTTTTCTATTTTCTGAGTATCTCTAGCTCGCCTAGGCCTGAACAAAAGTTAGTCTGAAGTAATCACAATTATTTCGTGATTTCTTTAATATATTGATTGACATTGTCTCTTATGAGCAGTAAGAATTGATTGAGCTCTTTTGTGCGGCAGAAAATATCATTGGTTTGGTGTGGAACGATCGAGTATTTCCGCATTTCAGACTTCATGCATCAGTCGAATTTCAAAACCCTCGATAGTTCGAATTTATTCTCATCCCTCCGATGAATTCATACTTGTTCATTAACCATCACTTTGATGGAATGATTGCTTTTCCGTTCATCTCGAAAATAATTTCTCAAGTGTTTATTGCATCTTCCTTCTTCATGAATTATTGAACTTGTTGTTAAATTTCATTTTTTATCGCGGAAGAATGTTTTTTTCATTGCTTTCCGTTTTTGATTGCCGAGGTTCTCATGGTTTCTGCAGTGGATAAGTAAAGTGCTAAAAATACTTGTTTCATTCCAGAAAATTAATTACTTCCGCGCCGCTGAGAAATTTCCGGATTGGTTTTCCGTTTGTTCCCGACAGTATACCTAGAAATAGTAAATTCTTGTATCAGGAGGGGGGAGAGTAACAGCGGCCTGTTGGATCATCAGAAGGGGTAATGGAACATCCGAGTGTGAGAACCACTGTACTAGTATATTGATACGTCAACGAAATGAGTAACCCATAGGTTTGTACAAACACTGAATAAATGATCGAGGAGTAAGTTGTAAAGGTGTCTTTAATGTGTACTCAAATTTGTGAAACATATTCTCTGAATGAGGAGCACTTGTAAGTGAATAAACAGAAATGAACTGATTAGGTAAACTTAAGAGAATCAGTATACGGAACTAACAAATTTAGGCATTGGATCATATATGTTCGTCAGATGTTGTGATAACACATGCATTGAGTAAATCCGAAACACTGCGTGCTTTCTTTGAGACAGCTCGTTCGTCACATCGCTCATTCCGTTTATTATCATTGGGTGATGACTATGAACACGCAGAATATTTATCACCAGTTGATATTTTATCAGCAATGAGACATGCGACTCGAGTTATCATTGCTGCTGCAGCACTTTTGCCTGATGGTTCTTGTATTGCACCTGCTGGTTAGTTAAGCATTTCATTCATTATGCAGTCAGTGTTAGCTTGCTCATGAAACTATTATGTATTTCGATTTTTCGAATGAGTAGATCTAAACATTTAATCGTTGATTTTGGTTTTGATATGATTTGTACAGTCTGTATGCGCAGTTTCCATTAATATATTTGGTATGACAATGTTTATGCAAGCATTTGTGCGATAAGTGAAATGTGTTGATGTTCAGGAAGTTTGATGATGTGCTTAGCAGCAAAACGACATTCCGTACCTGTGTCTGTTTGTGCTGCATTCTACAAAATAACACCGTGCTTCCTACCGGATTTAGATTTGATGCCGGCGATGGGTGCGCCATCTGAAATCGTTTCTTTCAGTGAATCAGACTCGATGAATTTTGTTCATGTGGTTAATCCACTTTTTGACTTAATACCCTCACAGCTTATTTCGTTATATATTTCACATACATCTGCTATATCACCGTCACATATTTATCGTCTCATTGGTGATTATTACCATCCAAACGATATCAGTCATATGAACACTTTTTAATATCACTTCGTTTTCATTTATCGTTCGCTCCTTCTCATTATCTCTTTAACCCGTTCATTCAGCCGACAATATAACGCCTGTGGCAGTATCGAAATATTTATAGTTGTTTAATTATGACTTTCGATGGCGGAATTAAGCTCAGGTTTATGAACAATTAACTGAAGTCATATTCGTGTGATATATCAGTTTGTAATTACATTTGCAATTCATCACTTTTCATTTCTACTATCAAAGCATTGCATAAACAGTGTTTTACTAACAAATACGCTCGTAATTATCGAAGCGGATAATATTAGGAGAAAATTTTTAGATTAGTTCGACGAATATCGCTGGAAGTTCATTGTTTGTATTTTCATCATTCTGTATTTATATTTTGAAACACTGAATTCGATGTCATTCATTGTTAGATAACAATTTTTGTCTGTCAGTAATTGATGAATTAAAAATTGATATGATGAAACGTGCAAATGTTTAATAGTGATGATTAATGTGTCCATTTTGTAATATTCGAAAACAAATCTATAACCAGTATCTTTATTGGAGTTCGCTGAGATGACATGAAAGACTCTGAATTGATTTTCTTTCTAGCTGTTGTCCTTGTGGAATAATATTTGTTTGATATAATAGTTTTGTTTCGATTCAATGACGCTGTAATTTAGAAAATGAACGGATGCGAAGAAATAAAGAAATGAGAGTGATATGAATGTTTCGATGATGTTAATCAAAGTACTTTGATCATTTATATACATAACTAATTAATAACACAGTCATTGATAAACGAGCCGTGTCCATCACTTAATTGTGGTTCTCACTGAGTGCTTTATTTTGTTTTTGCTCGGTTTTGTTTCGCTTCTGGAACCGAGCAGAGCAGTTGGCGAATTCGAGAGGAGAGGCAGAATAGGTGCTTGAGCAGCTGTGTACTCAAGGTGTTGTTGGCGTGACAGGGAATGATAATGCTTGGTTTTTGGTAGTGAAGTAGATTAATGACAGCCGTTCATATAGAAGTTTATTATCGCTTCTCACAGTCGGTCAGTAATGATGTGGTTGATAACAGGATGAAATTACAGATGAGCGAAGGAACAATAAAAGAGAATTGCAATGTAGAAGATGATGTAGAAGCATGTAGTAGTGCGAGTGATGAATGCGAGGAGAATGTGGAAACTGAGAACAGCAGCAATAGTGAGAGTGATGAGGATTACTCAACTGATGAGAAATCGTCATCAACTTCAACGTCAATATCGTCTTCGTCGTCGAGTGAGGCGAGTGAGTTGGATGGTGCAAGCGATGAGCATGATTTGTGGTCATTAGATGAAGAAAACACTGAAACCGAAGAAGCACAAGTGAGTTGTTTTAACTGAAGTGCCAAATAAATGAGGAAAGAAGTGGAGTGCGTGCAGTTGATATTGTTCTCATCTCAACGAAAAGCAGTTTATAATTTAATTTGATCTGTCTGGCTCATCTCGTGTTTGAATAGGCTGTTGGCTCATTTCGATTGCAGTCTATTGCCACGGATGAACGATGGCACCACAAAAAATATTGAATATAATTAAAATGTTGAGCAAATGTGCATCTGCATTCACTCAAGTGCGCAAGAAAAAGCAAGAGCTCTAGCGAAAATATCATGAAGTTTTGAAGATGTTGTTCATCTAATAGCCTTACTTACGCTACCAAATTGTGGTCACAGATACGTCAATGATAGCAATAATAATAATTTGAAATAAAATTCAAAGGAAGTTGGTTTGAATGATGAATTTTCAAAAGCTCTACAATTGATAGCGAATGGCCGCAAAGAAAGTGCGCTGAGGCTGATGAGCAATCTTTTAGAGCATTCACTTCTTGCTAAATACAGCGTAAGTTATGTTCAGTTTGGTTTATCAGTCGTTATTATTATATTATGATGCATGGATCAATTCCTTTTTGCGTTTGTTTGGTATATGACATTCTATATCAGTGGTTCTCAACTTTTTTTCTCGCTCACACCCCCCAAAAAAATTTTGAAATATCCTCGCAACCGTCAAACAAATAGTTTTAAGCATGAAAGTAAACGCGACCGAAAGAATTTTTTGTAATTAATTTTTAATAGCGTATAAAAAATGATCATTTAGAAAAGAAAAAATATTACAGAAAAGAAATAGTTGCATAAACTCACGATAAAGTTTCATCGATGTATGAAAGTTTCGATTCGTTGATCTTGATGTGTTTAAATTCAGTTACTCTTTTGTTCATGTTTACTGTCGTAGAGTTTTTCGAAGCGAGGCACTTCGTTGTTGATAGCAATCCGCACGTCAGCCTCTGCACCCAAACGATTTCTAGATTTTCTTTTAAATGACAAGAGGGCACTAAATCCTAACTCGCATAAGTATGTTGTCGCGAATGGGATGAGCACATTTAGGGTTTTTTATAAATTGTTGAAAGCATGTCCATTACTGAATCCTCCCTCCCACCCCCTCTCTTCATTGGAGTACTATCTCGCATTCCCAAAGGGTGCGAACACCCTTGGTTGAGAAACTTTGCTCTATAGTTTTGTTTTTGTGTTATTATGAATGATTGTAAGGTTTAACATAATTTGATGATGGTTTGTTTTAAGATTGATCCTTATAACTTTGATTGGGATGATGCTAGGAAAGAAGCAAAAGAGAATGGAGCATCAATTTCGGGCATGGCTCGATTATATGCTTCGTTACATTATCATATTGCTATGCTTAACGTTGATCCTATTCTGCACTATTTATGTGTGAGTTGATTTTGTTGTTTTGATTTATTGAAGTGCATTCAAATAGACTAAAAGTGTAATGATTCGATTCGCAAAGCTTTATAAATTGTGCATTTGATAGTGATGTTCGTTAATGAATTATAATTCGAAAGAATATGTTCGAAATAGAATGTGTTCACATCTGAAGGCATTAACAATATATGTGAACAATGACCAACTGTGGGCTCGTGTGGGTGAATGTGCAATGCAACGGAGCGATTGGCCAACAGCTTTATTTGCATTGGAAAATAGCTCGGGATGGAATGCACTCAATGGAATCATAATCAGCATGTACAAACAACGTCTTTATCTGGGTTTGTGCACTGTATATGCGTCTGGAAAATAGTCAACTTTATTTCGAGCGAATTGAGATAATTTAATTTACTCGAATGGTCATAAACGGTGATATCTGAAAGAAATCGACCCGTAACATGTTATATAAGTGACATAATGCATGACGAACATACAGATATATTCAAATCTATTCACTGTGCAATAATTTTTATTGTTTCTTTGTAGAATGTCTCAGGAAATTGGCATCAATACTTCCATTTGATCAGCATTACGCGACTGGTTTAGCGATTAAACGAGCCATTCGAAAATCTAACGCGTATTGGGAAAATAAATGCCGAGAAATTTTTAATGAAGATGCAGCTTATGATGTTGATGATAGTGTAGAGACTGTCGAAATGTATGATAAGGTAACTTAAAGCTATTATTACCATCAGATAAAGTAACGTCATCATGGATCCCTTTAAAAATTATGTGTCGGGGCAGTTGATGTATTCTTTGCTTGCATTCGACTCATTATTGGGAAGATAGTATTTTATGGCCAGTTGGGATTGAAATATGACAAAATCAGTAGGGAGACTGAAATAGTGAACTATGTTGCAAAAAGGAATTCAAAGTAATGTTGGTCAAATTGAGATAATTGAAAGATTGAATGCTGATTGCGGAATGACAATGAAAGAAGAGGTAGAGAGCGGACGGATTATACAAATTACTCTTAATCAGTGCATGACGTACGTTTGTTTGAATAAGGTTCTTATTATCATCAGTTTAAATCGATCCAATTATGATCTATCGTTGACATGAATTATAATCAACAGTCGTTCAGAAATTTGTTTATTGACGACAAATGTCAAATATGCTCCTTTTTCGTTGGTTAGGTGCAGAAGTTTACTTCAAAGTTATTCTATTTTTTTTAACCAGAAAAAAATTCCTCGATATTCCAAAATTAAAATTACATTTCATTGTTTGAACTTGTATTTTGTCTTATTTAGCGTTGTCAGTATTGGAAATCTTCTATGCAGTGCTTTTGATAATATTGAAAACTACGGAAGTGTAAGTTGTTTTTTATGTTTTACTGCTTTGTTGGTTCTTGGAAGATTTATAATAATATTAATAATAATACTAATAATAATAATAATAATAGTAATAATGTAATAATATTATTAATAGCAAAATAATAATAATAATAATAGCAGTAGTAATGATAATAATAATAGTGACAATAATAGTAATAATAAAAGGATGATGGCAATGATATTAAGAATGATAATTTGCATTCCAAATGAGTGAGGAGGAAATAATTTCGTACAAATACATATTAAATTACTAATGAATATTTGTTCTACTGCAGTTCGCGTTGGATAAAATCAATTTAAAAAGCAATGAAGCAACAACAAATGATTATTTTGATTTAGTTGTGAGGAATATTGTGGATGATATAGTTGATTGTGTTTGTGTATTAGAGTCAACTTTAATACAGATTCATCAGCAGTCATTACTCAGTCATCGAAATTCGGTTTGTGTGTTCTTCTTTTTGTTATTTTTGCTGTTGTTGGTGTTATTATTGTTAGTCTGATAATTTTGTGGTGTGGGCTTGAAATATCCGAAGAAATATGTTGATTAGTTTTTGATTGTTATTATAGGATGATGGCAGTATGAAAGGGGAAGATTTAAATTATTCGTTCGAATGGAATCGGCGATCAACTCGATTTCGTACAGAATTTATCATTGATGATACGAACGGTTGGCAAGAAGATACCTCACGGATAGACACGGTTCGTTAATTAATCCAGTAAAAATGTTTTGAGACGATTACTATTCTTTAGTTGCCAGTTATAGTCAATCTCATACAGTATCTTCGTTGCATTTCGATCAGCCTATATGTCATCAAATTTCAGTTACTAAAAGAAGCTTGTGTGTTGGAACGTTCGATAAGACCACTACGAACAATCAAAGGCTGTATGAACCATGAAAATAAAAGTGATACCAAAAAGTTTTTGCTGTGCGATGCAATGCAAGTTGATGAGGAATTCATTGTAAAACGATATTTGAATAGCATTTCAACTATTAAAACTAATGAAAGTATTTTCTCGGCTATCAAGAGGTTTCTCTTTATTATTGCAACCGTTCCATATCGATGGACAGTGAGTGATCGGATACGAAACGTACTTATTGAATGCTATTTAAGGTCGGTTATCAGATTCATTTGTTATGTTGTTACTTTTATGATATTCGTAGTTGTGAAAAGATGCTTACCCCTCGTCCCAAATTTATTATGAATGAATTATTATTCATCGTTTTGAATGCTTCAAGGCTCCTCTGATTGTAAGTAATAATCAGTGAATTATTTTTGGCGCTGTTGTTAATTGTATGAAATGATGATAATATTGGACACTTATTTGTTTGCACTTAATGCAGTGTAAAAGTGGTGATGTTTTTGAATGCGTAGTCACAGGTGAATTGCGCTTGCAGTGGATGAATTTCAGATGGTTGAAGTGTGATAGTCATGACTGTGAAGGATTAGTGACACGAAGTGAAGCATACCTGCATTTGCTGGGTGCTGAACTGTGTTGTCATGAAGGTGTCGTTAAATGTTTGCATATTACAACGAATAATCGGTTGAATAATGAATTAATGATNTCATCACACTCATTCACTCATTCAACTCGCTAAGCACCAGGAGACGCTCGCAATGATTGCGCATTACTTCTCTCTTCAACAGTTCTCGGATGTACTACCTTTTTTATTACATTTCATCTCGTTTTCCACTTTGTTTTTTCATTCAGTTTATTTTTCAATACATTCTCTTTTGACCCATTTATTCTGCTTCAAGAAATTTTGTTTCTTTAAAAGAGAGTTCCTTGAGGTAGGCGATATTGGTGGTCGTTGAGGGGAAACGATATTCGGGTGGGCGATTTGTCTGAATGATCAGAGGGTAACGAATGTGGATCACAGTGTGCGATTACGTTCTTCGTAGGGTGATACACTTAGGAAGGTGTAGCGATTGAAAATAACTGAAACTTATTCATCTGAATTTTTGCTTAGAACATGTGTTATACGTAGGTTAGTGCGCGTTCCAACACTCAAATTCCTTTTATGAATTTATTTGTTGATCTAATTTCCATTGATTAATCTCACTCTATTCCATTCGAATCCTTCATCTGTTCCGTTCGAAAAATATAACGAATTTATGGTCAATAAATTCTCGACCATATTTCTTTGGCTAATTTCCTTTTTCATCGTTGAGTTCACTCCGGAAAAAAAATTGACAGCTTTACGCCCTATCAAAGGCGAGTTGCTTCAAATTTTCTGTCAATTCGAAGTTTAAAATCGAAATTATATATTATGGTTTTCGGAACTTCAAAGTATTTCGAATTGAACTATCACTTGTGAAGCCTATCTTCTAAATTCAATACAAAAAGTTGGCGAGATCTTTTCCAAACATCAAAATTTCGATCCAAAACGAGGGACTTTGGAGCACTAGAAGGTATACCCTACCATAGGCAGAGGTGAGCCTGAGTCTCACGTCTCATCTCGTGGCAAGCTTTAACCTGAGCTGGAGTTAGCACTAGCCTACGTTCCAGGATGAGTCCTGTCAGTCTAAGCTTCGGGATGGGCCGGAAAGAAAGCTCGTTCTGAGCCTTGTGGTGTGCCTTAACGTGTGTCCTGGAGGAAGATCCTCACTCCATCCCCTGTGATGAACATCAGCCAATCCCTGGATAAACCTGAGCCGAAGGATGAACAATTTCCTTCCTCAGTTGATCCTCACCGTTAAATAAATTTCCGCATCCCCATAAGAACTTGGATAATTCACACCCCTACCGTTTTCGCCGATCTAGCTTAAATGTTGCCATTTTGAATTTGAAAAATAGCAACATTTAAGTTGCCATTTTCCAAATTCAAAATGGCAACATTTGAGTTTGATTTCTGTGATAACTTTTCTGCTACAGCTGTGAGAATAAACACCATAAAATTGCCGTTGTTTTTTTTTGCTCTTCTCATTGTTTTCAGAGCAATTATTGCATATCACTGAAAATTAGGTGGGCAATTTGGCTGAGCTATCAATCCAAGTGGGCTCTTAGCCCGAAAAGTGTAAGAAACGCTGCCCTAAAAATATTTACAGTGGTATATTGTTTTAATGAATTTTAGGTAATCAATTTGTTCGAAACATCATTCAATTGGAGTGAGGTAGGAGATGGTGATATTGAATGCAATGTTTTAACGTTAATTGATGCATATATCGCTGTAAAAAATTATAACTCTGCTGCGGTTTGGCTTTGTCGGTTAGTATAATTAAAATTTTATTGTTCGTTCATTGTTGTTCGTTCACCCTTTTTTGATTTTCGACTTCACCTAAATTTTGGCACTTATCGATCTTGTTTTCCTGATCCGTTACTGAACGAATTTTAACTTTTGACTTTCTAGAGTTAACGTTAAATTGTTTGCTATCTGAAGCGTTCATAAATCGCTTGCATGCACAGTTGTGAGGGTATAACATCAGCGTGCAACCAACCGTACAGAAACGACTGCATTTCAGAGCGATCGATTATCTGTCTTCGTTCAGCAGTGTAGATGAAGCACTGAAACGAATCCACCTACTCGTTGATTTGCGTTCCGTTGAACGAGAAACAATTTCAAATTTAGTGCATTCTGTTGTGCCACTTCTAATGAGTGAACCTCATAAAACCGTCAGTTTTGAATCATGCTCATTAATAGTTCCAATGACGATAGTCTGAGAAAGATATTGCGACAAAAATTATGATAGTGATAGCAGCAGCATCAATTCCGAAAAGAATTTTCATAAATATTCACAAATTTGAATCTTTATGGGATGAAGATCACACACACACAATTAATAAATAAATTCATTCATAAATAAACGTCTATTAAATATGATCAGTTTTCCCGTATCAGGATTTATCACTGTGGATATTCGTTTACGAAAGTGCACGTTTGCTGGAAGGTGAACGAAGTGTTGAGTCATTACGTGCGCTTTATGCAAGTGGTTCATTGATGTTAAATTCTTCGCTAAATGTTCTCGTGATTGCACATGATATGCTAGCTGAGTCTGAATGCTGTTACGCTGAAAATGTATTTTGATTTTACTTACAAGTGTTACATGTTCATTTATTCGTTTACTTCTAACGAGCACAAAATCATATTTCAACCGTATAACGAACAAATGGCCATTTTAATGCATAATTCAATTATATTTATAAGAAATTAATTATTTATAGCATGCTCTTTTATATTAATGGCATTCCCAACTAAATCAGTTCGTTCGGATAGGATCCTCAGATTCGAGTTGATTCAGGGTTCTTTGAATTAAAATTTCAGTTATAACGAACCATGCAAATAATAAACCACAAGTTGAATAAGATATATCGGTCAGTTCAGTAATCGAGTTGGTTTTATTGAGATGAATAATTCATATTTCAGTATCGTTTTCTAATATTCGAATTGCGTGAATTGGCAAATGTACGAGCAGAGCGCAATGTTGACGAGGCTCTGTCTGATGGACAACATACTGAGCAGTTACGTGCTTACTATGACGAACTGCATCAATGTTTGTTCTGCATGTTCGGGTTGGTTCTTCCTCAGTTATGCTACTATAAATATTTTAAGAAGTATCATTGAATTCTTCACTGTTGTTGATGCAAACGTATAGTAAAATGAACGCAGATGCCCATCACGTTTAAAACGTCTTCTCGAAGAGCATGGTGGTTCACATTCCTATGAGCCGTCAGAAGAGGACGCAATGTTCATCGCTTCATTACTATTACCCGATCCATTACCGTCATACAATGACACATTGTGTTCTGACTTGATCGAAATCGTGCAAAAGAAACTTACTCAGTTCATTCAACCAATCGATCATGAGACCTCAATGGTGTGTTCTTTTATCACTGATTTGTCTGTTTCCTCGAAATATTTCAGGATTTAGTTTTGTTCAATACAGCCGGAATTAAGTTTTTATTAAATTCAACTTTTTTGATTGCGACGGGGAAAAGCAATGCGGAAATAAAATGAAATGAAATCATAAACGAAAGTTCATCACTGACACAAGTAAATGATTAGTGATCGGTGACAATGTAGAATGAAACGTTATGGAATTTCTTAAATATATGATTCTGGGATTGAAGCCTTCGTTAGTCGAATGACTTGTTGTCGAATTATGAATTAGTTAACGAATTGTTGAAAGTATCAAAGATTGTTGAAGCTCTGAAATGAAAAGTTATACGAAACAGATATTTTGAGAAATTATTTTTAGGTTGCTGAATTGGAAAATTTCATCAGTGAATCGAAGGTTTGTGATTGGAAACGATGTATATCAAAGTACAGTAAATTACGTGCCCGAGTCTTTTACATGCTCGCGTTGAATGCATTCCGCTTATTGCGAGTCGATGAAACACTATTGTATACGAAATTATTTTTGGTTACTTCTGAGAGTGGAATTGATGCACGAATTTTGCATTGTGCGTGGACTATGCTATCGTTCTTTGGTGTTTCTGCACTTTTTACGGTTGGTTGGCATTTATGTTAGTCCCGTTCCGATTATAATAATCACAGTGTTGTTCAAAAGTTAATGTCACTCATTCTTGTATCAATTTCAGCTAACAGAAGATGATTTGATAATGAAACTATCGAGTGCCATTTTCCCATTTCGAATGTCACTTCATTTCGATAAAGACAGTCAGGATGTGTTATTCAATTTTGGTAGTGCGCTCTACCAAATTCGCAGTAAACTTGTTCGGTTTGGTCGGAAGGTCGTTGATATTATTAATGGAATAATTTTAATCTTTTTTGATCGTGCATCATGAATATATTTGTGTAATTTCAGCTTGACACTGATGACATCCGTGTTCGTTGGATACGCATTCGTACAGCTGGTATGTTAGAAGAAAGTCGAGAATTGTTCTTACGTTGTGCATCTCTTTTATCTGCTGGTGATCCAGATTTGTGGCGTTGTCATTATTTTCTTGCAAAAATCGACGACAAAATCGGAAATTCTATTGAATCGGTTGGTTGTTTTGTTGACTTGTTTTGTTTGAACTGTTTTCGTTTGGTTTCCGGTGCTTTTCACTGTTGCTTTTAATGCTTAGATTGATGAACAATTACATGGAGATCATTTTATAATAGCACTGCTAGAGCTGGTATTTAGTAATAATAATAGTGATAATAATATAGTAATAGTAATAATAACTGAAACAGGTAATGGAGCACCACTACGAATCTGCACGTCAGTTAGAAGCTAGTGGAGTGCAGTATCCGATGCGTATAAACACTAAAAAACAAGACCATATTGAAGCGGTTGAGGTGTGGCTAATTTAATTGAATGGTTTCTTTTTTGTTTTAACGATTCGTCGTTGGTAAAGAAGACGGGAAAAGAATTAATTATGAAATGTTACAGTTGCATTATCGCACATATGCATACCTCATTAAATGGCTTATTGAAACAGATGGCATACAATGGACAAGAGAGCAGCTCACAAAAATGCTTGCTTTTGCAGAAACGTTTTGGTTAGTGTTCTTCAAAAAATAAAAGAATTCTGGCTGCGTTTCTTTTACCCTCTTGGTCCAATTTTTGCTAGTTTCTGAACGTGGCTAATAAGAATTATTATACGTCAAATTTCAACAAATAAATATTTGTTCCGTTTGTAAGAAAAAGATGGACTGTTATCAAGAAATTATCGGTTAGCAGCTTGATTTATTGGTAACAAGTCATGTTCAAGAACAGTAGTTATGGCCTCGTTTCGCAACACTTCTCATCATTTATCGTTGTTACTGTCAGAGGCGATTGACTATCGTTATTGTTAAATGATTTATGATCACTTCGTAATATTTTCAATATCTTCGTAATATCTTCGTAATATTAGCGGTTATGGCGTATGTCGTCGAAATACGACCCAAAACGAGTTCGCAATCGATCCGTCTATTCGAGAACATATTCACAAATTAGTCTACTCCACTCATATAAGTGCAATGAATGAAGTTGATAAATGTCTGTATGATGCGGTTGAGCGCATTCATCTAACCAATTCAATCCTGACGCTTTGTGAAGAAGGTTTCGAAGTTTGCATTAAAAGGTGAGTCTTATTGTGTCATAGCGTTCCGTCATAATTATAACAGAGAAAAAGAATTATTGTTATCTTTCAATTCATTATTTGGCTTCAGTAAAATAACCACTAGCGTAGTATTGAGTACGCGAAATGAATAAAATGATTAAGAGAAAAAGGAATTTTTAAGCCATAAACTAGCTGTAAGTGCGATAAAATGAAGTGCACTTTTAAATTCTATTCCCAAAGCGAACTGTTATTCTCGAATGAGAAGTGCTTCTTCAAATACAGAAGAAACGTTTAATTTGCAAAAGGAGATGAAAAAATTTTATCAAATTTGAAAGTTCCATTCTTAAGCATTCAGATGACACCGAACAAGTGAGAAAAGATTTTTGAAATGAAAAAGGACATCAACAAGCATCAATTCAGTTAGGAACAACGACAGTGATATTAGTGATAAAAAGTACTGAATGAGACAAATACTGTAATTCAAGAAAACATTACAATGAGTTAAATAACAAATGCATCAGATGCAACAATTAAATAACAAGTCAATAAGAATTGAAAAGCTTTTTATGGATACGACTTTGTTTGTTTCAGATCAAATAAGCATATTTTTTGCACTCTCATTTATTTCTATATTAATTGCAGATTTCCACATTTCAAGTCCTACTATCGTTTAGCGCAACTCTCGTTCTACCGGGGCGATTATGCGATGGCTTCATCATTGATTTTCACTCGGTTATTTGCTCGGAAAAAGTCGTGTAATCCAGACAATATTTTTGAGGTTGTTTTTTCATGCAAAATGTTTCTCAGCACGTTCATTTTGTTAAAAATGAACTTCTCACTAGAACGCATTTCAAATATCGTTCAGCATAGGAATTATTGTTATGTACTTATAAAGTTGAACTGTGTTGTAATATCACTAGAAAATTGTTTCATTCATAAAATAGAATCATGGTGAGTTAAGGTGTTCTTAAAGATTTTGATGGTGCTTTGTTGTGTTGTTCGTTTCTTCGGGTTGACATTTCCATTGATAATGATTTTGTGTATTTTAAGACGTTGATAGCCATAACTCAAACGGATTTGGATAGAGGTGATTCGTTACAGTATCATGTGTACCGTATCGCGTCACTTGCTATTACAATCGCTTCGAGAACCAATGATTGTGTTTCGTTGATTTCATTATTACACACATTTTGTACACTTATTTTTTGCGGCAATACGTTAGTACAATTGACTGTTAAAATTTTATTTGATTTATTTGTTACTCCATTATGTAGTGCATTTGATCCTAGTTTATTTTTCAAGCACAGTTGCTGATTTTTTTAATAGAAGTATCATCGTGAGAAGATATCATCGAATGATCCGATGAATTCCCATTTAGCACATGGTATGATGTCTAGAGATGCAATCAGTTTTAGTAAAGTCATTGATAGAAAAGTGATTTTTTAAGGTTAAAGGTTTTCATCCATTTTCAGAGATTATTTGTTAGCAGAAGATGTGGAAAAAGTATATCGTTATACATGTTCACAACTTCTGAAATGTGTCAATGAAAAAGTGCAGAACGGTGAGGACAGTTGCTCTCTGGCGGTACATCTTTACGATCTCTATCAATATGCTGAAAGGTAGTAATTTTATTTCAGCTGAAAACACATTTTCAAAAATTAGTTTAATTTAACGATAGAATCGGATTAGATCGTGTCTTCGCATCCATTTTTCATGAAAAAACTACGAGTTCTGCTACTCACTCAAGCGAAAGGGATTTTTTAGTTTGCTAAGGAATCTGTTTTTTTTTAAATCGTTCTGCGTAATCCCTCGCACGTCTCATTGTATTTTATGTAAGTTGCAATTTTGTTACAGTGATAGTATTATAATAAGAGTGTTACCGATGACCAGATGGACTTGTTTTGTGCAACGCGTATATGAGATGTTGTGAGGGAGTCTTGCTTTGTGCAACGACAAAGTGAACTGAATAAATAGATATCAAATAAGCAGATATTTATTGAACCTTCTAAGGCGCAGAAATATACGCTCAAACGTTTCGGCATCGAAACGTTATCACAAGTTATCCAGTATTACATGGGCAGGGATATCAAACTGTTGGCGTCGAAACAACCAAAGTTGTATGTGAATTACCGAATGATGAAGAGTAGACATCGGTTCTTGTGTGCAAAAGAAAGAAAACTGTGTACAAAATGGTACAGAAAGAAAATTAGAAAATTCCTGGAGAAAAAATTACGGAAATGCAAACTTTGAGAAACAGTGACAACTGTGATGTATAAAATGCATTTACATAGGAAATGTATTTTATGAATTATGTTATGGGAGTGATAAGATTACGCTTGATAAGTTTCGTTATATGAAATGAGTTAGTATTGGTTATATCATTACTGTGTAATTAAGTGTTGTGCAAAGTTGGAATGCTGTAAATCGTTATGTTGCGATTAAGTTGCGTTTACACCACGGTTGGCACCGTTTTAAAATTCTTTGGGAAAGCGAGTACATTTCGGTTATGTACGCGAAAAATAATTGTAGAAAATAGGCTTTCTCCTTCCTGACTGAATAGCCACTGTCAGATAGTATCGATTTACAGATGTATGTGCTTGTAGTGATGGAGAAATTTTAGGCGGATTTCGCAAAACATCCATTAGTAAAAATGAATTCCATTTCCGTAATTCGACAAAAAATAATCTGATATTCATATGCCGGTGAAAAAATGTCAGTTTTTGTTGGACATTGTTCGTATTACTGTTTTGAGAAGTGATGAACAAAAAAACAAGAAGAATCAAAACAGGGTGAGGACATTCGATGAATGTTACTTGGCAAACAGATCCGCAAGGCACATTACCGTGTTATGCGGAGCTGAGTGTTGATCAGCAATGCGATCTGTTGAAAATGGCGTTTTAGCGTCAATACGTTTTGCATCGGTGTTTTCTTTAATGTTTAGTGTTTTTCTCTTAGCGTTACACTTTATATCTTCTTACGGTTAGTCGGTTTTTGTTTTTATTTGACTGTGGTCAACATATTATTAACATTATCATCATTATTTGCATTGGATTTATTCATACATTCTTCATTTTTTTAAAGGAACAATGAAAAGAAGTTGTGTACATGCCTGCGAAAATGTTTCGCAATGATAGCCCCCCATTTGGATGGATTCGTTTCCGGTAATGATCCAGTTGAGATTATTTATGTGAGTTTTTAATGTTCTTTTTGAAGTTCAACAGTTGTTTGTCGAAGTTCATAATTGTAGCTGGCAAATTTTCACTGATCAGTTTGGTTGAATTCGGAAAATACGTTGTCAAATGAACATTTTGTGAATTTGGATATATTAGCTGTTGTGTCTATGGAGTGAGAACAACTGAGAGGAAGATTTGTTCATCACGATTCAAAAATTAACAACTAAAAGTCTTGGATATAGGTGTAAATCACAATTCATGATGTAGAAATATTTGAGAGTTTCGAGATGATAGATATTGGCGCAGTTAGTCTGCCATTTCAGTATAAGAACATAAAAAATTTTCAGTATCAGTTTGTATCAGAAATTATGAGAATGATTGAAATGAAGAAGCGTTATTTTATTATTCATTCTATTATTGTTCTTTCAATATTGAAACCTCAGAGCGGAATGTGATTGCAGCAATTATATTTGCAATCAAAACAACGTCCTACAAAACGTCGTTTGAAGTCGACAATTTCATCGTCGTTGTCACCTTCCTCAACATCATTATGTTTATCGTCAGCACCAGTGGCAGCACCTACACCTCTGAAAATATCACGTTTTGATGCTTCTTCTTCTCCATCATTATCAAATTCCGCCGATTACTCATCACCATCCATTCAGAAACATCAAGCATTTTCTCTATCGTCTTCTCAATCAACAAACTGAACTGATCTGCGTGCATACAGAATGTTCAATTGCTATTGATATGCACTCATTTTTTTCTTTTTCATTACAACTTATACTGTATTTACAACTTGCTTAGAATATTCGCGCTTTTATGTTAATATCATGTGAGACTCAGTGAAGAGAGTTTCTGCAAACACATCAATCATCAAAATGTTACTAGAAATTTATCAAGAACCACATGTTCTGAAAGAGGGCACCGTCTAAAACGCAGAAGGAGGTAGACACCAATTCACCAATATCGTTGAACTTTTGCTTGCAGTTACTATTTGTTACAGTGGCGTGACAAAGATTGTGTTGTGTTGCACACATTGTTATATAAAAATATGTACAAACAGTAAATAATAAAGCATGGAAGAAAAGCAGTAAATCACAGCAAGACCGATAATGATAATACAAGGATAATTACGCAATAGGGAGAACAAAAATGACAAAAAGTAAAAATTAAATAGTAAGTGACAAAATTATGGAAATGTCTTTTGCGTATGCAAGTTGATAAATGATAAATAACACAAAATAATAATAATAAACAGTTAATGCAGTAGTAAAAATAACAACCTGAATAGGGAAATGCTAGTTATATGCAGGTCCAGAAATGAATACCTATGCGCATTACCGAGTTTGCAGAAAAAAAAAACAAAGTTTTGCTGAAGACGGAATGATGCACGGAGATCTGTGATTTCACTGAACCTGGGCCACGCTATGATTTGGCTCCTATCAATGTCAAAGCAAAGGCAGAAATGAAATAATGCATGCAAATGTAATTCACAAGAAATAGTTGTGAAGAATAATGTGCATGAGAATGTGTTCCAAAAAATCGTACAGCTGAACAGACAGGAAATACGGGGAACCACTATCGGTGGAAACAATTGCTGGAGAGGATGTTGAAACTTATCAGCTTTTGAAGGAGAAAAATTTGCAGCAGCCTTACCCAATGAATTTGCTAATTGTGGAAAAACTTAACTTTACCGTTTATCTTTTTCGCTTCGAATTTTATGAGGATGATCTGTCAGACGAAATGAAAAAATCAAACGTAGGACGTGCGTTCTGTTCCGGTATTGCCGCCTGATTGATCGTCATCGAAGCACATGTTGAATTGAATTTATTGAATCAAAAGAAGAAAAAAACGAATAAAGCAATGCAATAAAACAAAATGAGTCTCCAATTCGAAGCATAATGCATAACAGCATATTTCGAAGACTACCGTCCACGAATGTGTAACAATTTGCTAAATTCTTTTTCATTACATATATATATATATATATATATATATATATATAATAAATAAAAATAAAATTGAAAAATAAGAACACAATTTAAAAATTTAAATTTAAAAAATAAGAAAAAGACAGAAAAAAAACAAAAGGAAACCTAAAAAAAGAAAAAATCAAAGAATTTTTTCAAATGAAAGAAATCATTGTATTCTCATCTTAAGTGGGCACTTGTTTACTTTGGGGAATTAGTGGGGGGGGGGGGGGGGGGGGGGGGGAAAAAAA